AAATTTCTTAATTTGATCGTTAACATGTACATCGTTGAAAACTGCAAGCTCATGATATGACGACGTTCGCGAAATTTTAGTCAAGTTTTTGGAGACTCGCCGTAGAATTTAATTAATCCATATGGGCTATAAATTTGAAATAAACTTTGACTTAACAATATCTGACAAATATTTCGCATGGAACGCAAGATAATAGTGATATCGACGTGAGATCGAATCCTTTAACTCGACATATCCAAAGAGAACGAAAGCGCCGATAACGATGGGCGGTTCTCGAGAAGATCCGTCTTCGAAGACGAGCTGGTTGTATCTCCTTTTGCTCCATCGTTCGTTGCGCCCCGTCAGTGACGGGTGCCTTGCGATTCACCGAGCGTGATGTCACGACGTATTGTATTTCGCTTATCGGCGCCGGATGTCAATTCCCCGTTCAACCTAACAGCATTTCAGGAATGCGAATGCCACGTTTTTCTGCGACGACACACGACGACACACGACGAAGACGACGATGACCTTCGCCCCGGGGATCGACTTTGCCCCTGGACGACTATTCATCTGGTTATTCATCTTAATTCATCTACTCTTCATACGGAGTGTTGTCTTCCCGATCAAAGTATCGTAGCAAATAAGGACCGCGTGATGAATTGTGATCTTAAGAGTAATACGCGTTTAATTATAGCTGTACGATCCGCGTACAGTCATAAATTGCCGATAGTATCGATTTTACCGTGCTAAGATCAATTTCATTTTTTCGATCGAGCGGCCAGCTATTATCAGACACAGTATCCTCTTTTCCGATCGGGAGTCGTACATATAATACAGTTTGTCACGGCCATCAGATCATTGTGGATCGATGTTATGACAATAGTCGAGCACAGTAGCGTATCTTTGTTTTCAAAACACGTCTCTCTTCATGTACCAGGATGGTCCTGGCTCTCGCTGTGCGGAGGAAATCGTACACCCCCGCTGGCAGGCAACAGCAGCAGTAGCAGCAGCAGCTCCGGGTTTGAAAGAGATCCGCGCATCGCGGATACATTAAAATCCACCTCTACTCTCTCGAGTCGGTCCTCCATGTGATTCCTGAATTTCGCGTCCGCTCGTGGACGGCCGAGCGCGCGTGTTTCGCGACGGAAAAAAATCGTATTTCCGGAAATATGAGAGAGCCCGGGACCGACACAGTCCGGAGATAAAATCCGCTGAATGCGATCTTGTGCCTTAACGTTGCTACGCGAAAAGAAATACAATAGAAGTGGCTTTTATACCGATACTAATCAACGATTCGGTGAGAAAAAGACCATGAGCGTGTCGAAAATGAAGATAATCAGAAACCATTATTTCTGTGAACAATTTCTATTTGTAAGGGAAGAGTGTTGAATTTTTCAACGAAAGATCTTCGATGTACAACGAACATTTTATCGTTGCCGTTTTGATTCAAAGCTTCAGTATAAGAATATCAAGTTATGATTTGTAGGGACTCACTGAAACGACTAAATTAATTTCAGTGGGATCTTATATTTTAAACTTACGCCGTGTGAGAACTAATGTTTCATCTAGCTTCCGGGTTAACGTCACGTTGCCGACTAGAAATTTACTCCAATGGTCCTGATCAGATTGATCCTATTCAGTTATTCGGTTAATGCAAGGTAATGCTATCGGATAAGTCATGAAGCGTGAAGTCAGGAGCCTGTTAACAAAAAGGTTTATTAATGATTAGGACTTATTAATATCACTCTCTCTATACAAACCGAGTAACCGATTGAGATCAACTTAGTTTGGTCCCAATCAATCGGTAAGGCTATAGGGTAAATTTCTATTCGTGTTCTTCGTGAATTTGTTTCTGACGTTCCGTGAATATAACGATTCACTTCTTCAGGGAGAGGGACGAGATCTGAAGAAACGAAAGTTTTATCCGGAGTGATCCTCAAAAATTGCCACGTTATCTTGTAATGAGCTTTCAGCTTCTAATTGAACTTTCAGTTAACGGAAGTAATCTGCGCCATTTGATGAACGCGCAGAAACTCGTATATGACTCATCTCATGCGTTGAGATCAGCGCTCGATCGATGTCACGCTGAATGATCGCTGAATGATGTCTCTAAGCGAGCACGGCACGGTCGTATCCTTGTTTCCACAACACGGCTCTTCGGCAGGACGAAGCGATACGGGAAATTTTACACCCGTGCGCGCGTCCGTGTGTCGCGCGAACATCTTGTTTGGCGAATCCATGTCTAGCCTGGAGCACGTGTCTGCGTTTTCGCGAACCACCGGTAATAGTATCATCGAGTTCGGCGATGTAATAGACACATAATATTGCCTCATGTAACGGATCGAGATACAGGGGCGGTTCGACCGCTATTACGATGCGATCGATCGTTGTATTACAGGTCGCCGAGAAATTGTTGTCGAATGCCGCGAGCTATTCTCGTTAATGCGGACGTCGCTTGTTTTTAAACAAAACTGCATCTTACGCTACGGACGTGTACGCGATCCAAATCCGATACGGCTGCAAACGATGAAAATGAAAATCCCGGAGGAAAAAAGCATGAAACTGCCCCTTTATTGTCACGTAAATTCAATATATTCGTTGAAAAGTTTGCGGATGAGATATACTTTGAATTCGGCGTGATTCGCTCTCGTAAATTGCAAATAATTTTGGGAACGTCTTCTGCGTGTCGTGCGCATTTTCAATGTTAACGCGACGAAGAAATTCATTGAGATATATGGTCCATTTTCCCGGCGTCCTCCTTACGATCGCCATTTGGCACCTTGAGAATTTCTCCCTCGCGTTTAACGCATGTGCGAGGCAATTTGTGCGACCGTTAACGTCCGCCGTTAACGACTCTAGTACGATGTCAATTACATGGCGGTGTAAAATCACGGACTGCGCTTTTCATTATGACTTCATGATCTCTGTCCCGTGTACCGTATTCCTCAAAAACTCTTTTTGTGAAATTAAACAATTTGGAAATAATCTATGGAGAATTAAAATAATATCGCGTAAAACTATATAAAAAATATTATATATAGTAAAATATTATATATTTTATAAATTACATTGTTTTTATATATTTATTTCCTTTGTTTATGTTACTTACATCGATTTATGAAAATACGATAAATGAAAATTACGAATTTCTAATTTCTAAAAGTAGAAAGTATCATCTCCATTAGTGATTTCAGCTACTAATTCTATTTATGATTTTTATTTAATACTCTTTGCTCCCCTAATATTCGGGTCCTTTATAACAATCATGATGAAACGTCACGGTCGTCGGGTTTGCGTCACGTGATTAGATGCGCTTTTCGTAATTAGATAAATTTTCGTTGATCAACCAATCCGAGAGTCGACTCTCGTCTTTCCATTTCTTCCGCGCATTTTGCTTCGCCGGTCTGGTTCGTTCGCTTTTATCTCGCTTTTTTCATTCTTTCTCTTCCCTATTTCGCCCGCGGCGTGCATGTAAGTTATTGGTGTCCAGTTACATCCAGTTCCAGTTACACGTGCCGCGGGGCACCGATGCATTCGATGCCGCCGTATGCACTCATACTTCCTACTGCGCTAGAGTACTCGCGCTCTCCCTCTCGCGGTGTTTCCCGGCGATTTTATTGCATTGCAAAAAACAGATTATCGTATTTTTAATGGAAGCTGCGTCAAGCTTTGCGCATAATATTGAGAGAAAATCTGATATTGTACTGCGTGACGTGTTATCGGATTTTCATGCAACGTCGACGAAGTTACCGCCGCAAATCGTATTCTACTTTCAGAGAGATTCTTTATATCTTCGACATCATGTGTCAGAGAAATTCTGGAATATCGACAAATATGAGAAAATAAATCTGAATACGTCAATTTACGTCGTTTAAATTTTACAATTATGAATTTGCAATTTAAATTTGTGTAACAGAGACTTGTCTAATTTACTTGTGTCATAAGATAGTCAAAAAGTAATTCAAACCTTTTCAATTGCCTCTCCCTATGTTAAAAACTTTTTAATTGTGTAGGCTCTTTATGTTTTATAAAACAAATATACAAGAAGGAATAAAGGTAGTAAGAATCTCTGCACAGGTATAAGAGTGCAACACAAAATAAATAACTTATTAAAATGTCAAAAGTTTGACTCACATTTAATAACATACAATAACTGCCAGACGCGTTTCTGTCTGCACAGGTCGGATATCGTTAGGTACTTAAACAATTGTGTCCTCTGAATAACAGCGGATTTTCAAATTATATGCGAACGACAATTTCGTTTATTATATGACAGGTTTTTATTATGCCACTAATGAAGGTCAAATATGACAGAAACGCGTCTGGCAGTTATTGTATGTTATTAAATGTCAAACTTTTGACATTTTAATATATTATTTATTTTGTGTTGCACTCTTATGTTTGTGCAGAGATTCTCACTACTTTTATTCCTTCTTGTATATTTGTTTTTTAAAAACTTTTCTGCACATATAAACTCGTATTCCGATTTATATATCGGAATATTTTTCTACACTATGTATTATTTACAAACAATTTTCCAAGCTATGCAGAAGGTGTAGTGTGAATCGATGATTTCTTAATTAATTCAACTTAGTCCGCGCGACTAAGATAGACTTAGGGAACGCTCACCGGCAGAATGTCAGCCGAAGTAGCATTTCCCGCTCGCACGTGGTTTATCGCTCTGTATATCGACTCCTAGCACTAAACATAAAACCTGCGTGAGCTTCGGGTGTCCCGGCGCAAGTTCCTTTTAAATGGGTCAATTGTTCCGCCCGGACGAGATTTCTAAGAATCGTGTGAGGCACTCACATGCGCAGATCAGTCGATCGATGATAAAAAGAAAGAGAAACGAGATAGCAGCAGAGTCCATTGAACTCATCGCCCATTGTCCAGGTTCTCGGAGCGGTCAGTCGCTGTCCTTGCTCTGAGAACGGTCGCGAGAATTCGGCCGGCTCGTTTTCCCGATCGTCGCGGTTATCACCTTGCCGCGGATGTTCCAGTCACGACTCTCGTTTCAGTGAGCGGTTTCGAGCTGCAGAGCGGCTGCATCGGGGGCAGCACGAAGGATCTCGAAACCTCGGTGACTGGCAGCTTGGGCCGCGCTCTGACATCGCACCACGTCTCTTTAAGCCACCACCATCCCCATCACAGCCTGCAACACAGCCCCAGCTCCGTCGTGGTGTCTATGTCTCATTCCTCTGGCAACACAACGCATCATCACCTGGACGACAAGGGCTCATCGCCCGTGGGCGCTCTTCACAGCACTACTAACAGCAATCCCCCTACACCATCCGCACCTTCCACGCCCAACACTGCCACGGATAACACTGTGTCGGCTGTCGCGTCCGGCACGAACAACGCCAACGGCACCAGCGGTACCTCCACCAACAGCAAACCGCCATTCAGCTACGTTGCCTTGATCGCCATGGCGATTCAGCATAGCGCGCAGAAAAGGGCGACTCTTAGCGAGATCTATGGCTACATCACGGCCAAGTTCCCGTATTTTGAGAAGAACAAGAAGGGCTGGCAGAATTCCATCAGGCATAATCTATCCTTGAATGAATGCTTCGTTAAGGTGCCGCGGGAAGGCGGCGGCGAGAGGAAGGGCAACTTTTGGACGCTCGGTAGGTCGATCTCTGTTCGGTCAATTGCCTATATCCCCGAACCTTTGAGAATAATTCTCTAAATTTCTTAGAGTGAATCTCACTCGAAGTGATGGTGAAAGTGGACCATCATTTAGAATCACAAGTGTTTGATTCAAGCTTAAAGTGGATTCCAGACCCAAACGTGTAAATGTTTCAGTCGACTAGAGCAAGTTTGTTCCTGTGACGGTGGAATACGTTAAATTCGTCCTTCAATTTCAAGAGAAAATGTTCACTTGAACGACTCTGCCATTCTGTGAATCAAAATTTACTCCAAGAAATTTAGAAAATAATATTTCTTGCTCCCTTAGTAATACAAATGATCGCGATTACTATTGTGATAGTTAAAAAGTCATCGACATGTGTTCACTGTACGTGTATGTTACATGATCTTAGACCCGCAGTACGAAGATATGTTCGAAAACGGCAATTACCGAAGGCGAAGACGAATGAAGCGTCCTTACAGAAATACGCCGTACCACAAGCCACTCTTCGGCGATCCGTTTTCCACGACTCACGTGCACTTAGGGCCGAGGAACATTTTTGGCCATTCACCCCCTTCGTACGCTCCCACTACTTATACGCGATACGACACGAGGTATTCACGAATATCGCATTTGCTAACATCGCGCACTTTGTAATTATTATAAAGCCTGTGGAGAAAGATCGCTTTCTCCTCAATTTTCAACCGAATCCAAATTTTAAATCGTAAATAAGATTTGCATCGAAAATTCTATTTAAAAAGAGAAATCTATAATTATTCATAATATTTAGACTTACATCTAAGAAAAATGCATAACTATGTACTTCTTTCCTTATTATAGCGGATGGAGTCTTCAGCAATCGCAGCTCTCATACAGCCATTGTCAGTCGGTGAGTTCTCGCGCTGAAAATAATAAATCGTGAAAGATACTATAACAAAGATACACTTTTAATATCATACATTTTTAAATATTAATGGTAAATTAAATGGTAATAAGATACCGCGTTACGTTCGAAAAACCGATCCAATCATCGTGACTTTTCTTGATCGCAGTTGCAGCCACAATTACAGCCGATGCAATCCATGCAGATCCCAGCTATGAACGGTTATAGTCAATTGGGCACTTCATTAAGTGAGTCTCTATTCTCTTTCTTTCCCTCCTCCCTTTCGTAAGCCGGAATAATGCCGAACGATCAGGCGAAGCGTTTCAAGGCAATTACCTGGATGTTCCAGGTGGTACAACCGGGTCTCCCGGTTCCATGGGCGGCGGTTCTTTCGGTAGCAGCTTCGCCACGTGCGGTAGGAGGCACGACGCCACAATGGCGACGGAAACGATGCCCGGCAGATGCTACTGGCCAGAGAGTAAGTGCTTTTAACAATTACTATCATTTTTATTACAACTCAAAAGCAATCATAAGTTTGTAAAATGTTTCAACCGCGGAATGTGTAATTCTTCATAATTCGTAATGTGGCAGCAACATGATTAAACGGGAGAATTCTCAAAGTATCGTTTATGTCACTGACACGTCCGTTCTCTACATTACGTTAATTACGTTAATTTCGCCGACAACTTGTGACATCATGATTAATTTTTCACTGAATTCATCGTGTCGGCCGTGCACGGATTTCGAGTATTGAATCGCAGTGAAATCAGTTGTTAGATTTCTCGGCAGACCGCTATACGTATCGTTCGCTAATTGTCGCAGTGGTGAACGTGAAGGAGGAACCCGGGAGTAACGCGGTGTCGGCCAGCGGCGTCGGCGTCCCGTCCGGTATGATGGGTTCCGCGGCGTCGTCGGGTGTCTCCACGACGGGCTTCGCACCTGTGGAATTCCAAACGCGTTCCAAGTGCTTTATGTGAACTCGCGGTAGCCAGAGTCACCGAGTCGCGGGACGAGTGTCTTCCGACGACGTCGCGACGAAGATCTGAGACACGTGATCCTGTGCGCGATCGTCGCAGACGGAATCGTCGAATCGTCGACGTTGGATTTCGCTGTTCGACGAACGCGTGCACGTCGCCGGACACTTGGACAGCGTAAATCAAAGGTATAATAAATATATCCGATAATTACTTAATAATATTATTGGATGGCTGTTCGCGAATTTAATTTCGCGTAAGGAAGTAGCGTAAACATTAATGACTCGTATAATTGCCGTTGTCGTGGTTAACTCGATGTTTAAAAAAAAAAGGAACCAGCGCCGTACTTACCCTTCCCTCAGCCATAAGCACCTCCACGTCTTTACGTAGTCACCGCGATCGCGTGATTTGAGCAAGGTTCACTGTCGTCTCTCATAGTAATTACAATTCGTCAACGGGTCGTCGAATTTTTGCGACGACCCTTGAGGCTCCTGGCTTCTCGTCCCGGAACTCGTAATTAACGACGCCAGAAGCGAGAAAATATGTGCTAGAAATTCTTGCAAAATACGTTGAAATAAAAAAATGTGTCCATAGAATGACACTTGCAGTCGATCAAGCAGACTCATCAGATGATCCGAACACTTTCCTTTGTTCGAACAATCAATAAGTAACTGTAAAATTAACGGCTGCATTCAGCAAAAAAATCTGCCTTGCAACTGTTGTAAAATTCGTGAATCTGATTGGTACATGCTCTTGGATTCAGCCAAAATTAAGAGCATACCCCAGATTCACAAATTTTTCAACAGTTGCAAAGCAGCTTTCTCTGTTGAACACAGCCAATGTGACAAGCGAACTTGCTTTTTAATCTATCTTTTCTCATGTTACTTTGTCACGTTAATTTTATTATTTACTGATCGTTAGAAAAGTGTTGGGAATATTTTGGAGGTGTGCTTAATTGATCACAAGTGTCATTTTTTGGATATATTTTATTTCGACGTACTTTGCAGGAATTTTGGACATGTATTTCCTCGTTCCTGACATCACCAATCAATCATTTCGCGGCGAGAGACCAGAAACCTTAATCAGCACCTAGCGCGTCCGCAGGGAAGCGCGGCTCTGTGACACACGTGTTACGTCGCGTCTTACTACTGTAAATGCACTCGAACACTGTTATACGTAAGCAATATGCAATGCACAATCGCGTTTGTAATATCGCGAGAGCCGTATGCTGTCCTGACGCGGTTGCATTTCGGATACGAATCCGGCCGCGGAATAGGCAAATACTGAGATATTGCGAGCGATTGCAGAACGATCTCTGAGCGTTATCTAGAAAGGGGAGAGTGTCGTGAGCGTGGAGCGTCAGGTAGCTTAGTGGTTCACCAAGAAGCAGAACGATCTCTTAACTTTATCCCATTTTCGCACTGACTACCTCAGTGGTTCACCTCGGAGCAGAACGATCTCTTAACTTTACCCATTTTCATGATCAACCACTTGGAGATATCTCTGTCTTCGTACATCGTTTTCGACTGCTAGACAGTATTCAATATCTTGACGAGAAGCGAGAGACGAGGAGAGTATCCGTTCGGCGAGAGTGAGATATCATTTCGACTCGATCTTTTCCGCATTAAACACGAGAATTATACCGCGAGAGGTTTCATTGTGCTGAGCGATCTTTCGCGCTCGATATTTATTTAATACGTTGACTAACTGGCCGAGAGCGAGTTTTCCGTACCTTATATGCAGTTTGCGCTATGGCTCCATTTTCATCTGTAAACATTTAATTTATACAATAATAAAATATTGTGTAATTAAAATATCAAGTCTCATGATTTGTCTCGCAAATAATCATCCGTACGGAGAAGGATGCATTCCGCTGAAGAATAGAGTACCAGTCAACGTGTTAAACGATGTTGAATGATGTCTTTCCTATTGCGACATGAATATCTGCGAAAACGTAGCTTTTAACGAGTACAGATCTATTGTAAGAAAAGAGAATGACACAGAATAGTAAGAAAAGTCGTCTTGTTGCAGAGTTCTTTTATATATATATATATATGTATGTATGTATGTATGTAGGTATATAGAATTAAAAGAATAAATATAAAATAATATGTGCGTACAAATACGTCTTATGCGAGTTACAGACGTTGTTTCCACGGTCACAATGGTATGTAAATATACGATTAGTGTTAGACATAATGACCTTAAGGAAATCGCGAGATATTAATTTTATGCACTATACTACTAAAATTAGTTTCTATGGGACACGTATGACGTCTCGTTCGCGTGTCCCTACACTACGTGGGAATCGTACGTTCAGAGAGAAAGAGCGCGACTTGGATATATACAGTGACCCGACGAGAACCAACCCCCACGTGCAAAAGAAATTTCGTGCTGTAACAGTGACTGTAAAAGACGATGAAAATAAATCTCGATTATTTATCATCGACGAAAGAGAGAAAGAACGGGAGGGGGAGAAAACGCGCGCGATATCCTTGTTTAGCCCCGACGGACGGCTAGTCGAAAATAGTCTCTCTGGCGTGTACTCGCGACTTCGTCCACTACATCCTAGATGCACCGGCGGACGCAGGATGTCGACGAGAAAAAGTGCACATCGAGGGAGAACCGATGGCCGGCGAATGTTTTGCGAGCGCGGTGTTTTGCAAACAAGCCGTGCGCCGTGGGCTTTAATATTCCCCGTAAAACGTGAAGCGGCGGGTGTCGGGGCCGAGCCGCGTCAACACCGCGCTCGCTCGCTCGCTCATGCATCGGAGCGGGAATAGCACGTGCACTTTATTTTCCGTCCTCCGCGCGGAACCGCGCGAAAGAGCACGTCGATGACGTTCGGTATAGAGCGAAGAGGCCGAGAATAAATTCCGCGCTGCCGGACGCGTGTTGGAAACGAACGGACGTTGAGGAATTCCCACAACGGGTTGCTTTTATCGAGTGAAATTTATAGCTAACGGCTCGTGGCGATTTTAGATTTTCTTTTTCTTCCTAAATACGTAAAGAACAAACGTAAAGAAATGAAACCGAAGTCACATTATAGAGTGTTCATGAGAGTTCTTTGAGAACTTATTTTCGAGGCTTCCTCTTTGATTGAGGGCCGGTTTCATCAACTCCGGTTACGGTCAAAGCTGACGTGGTTCAATTGAAAATTCTAATGGATAAGAGTGACAAAGTACTCATGTCCATCAGTTGATACCGTCGGTCAGATTTTGATCGTAACCGGAGTTGGTGAAACCGACCCTGAATCGCGGGATAAGCAAATATTTTCGGGTCGCAAACGACGGAGGAAATGGTGGCTTGCGCGAGAAGCGAAGCGTGCTCGTCGAGATAAAATCGCAACGACTAATTGGAACGTATTTATCTGCTCAGGCGGATGGCAGGAGGGAAAGGTCTCACGATTAATGTAAAAACGGAAAATAAATGGCGTAGGGTATAAAGCCACTTACGCAGTTTTCTAAAAATTTACAATTTTCACCCGGGTGATCATAAGATAATGAACTTAGGACGAATTTAAGACACGCTAAAGCCCATTGGGACACAACATAGGGAGCAGCACGCGTAGCGTTGAATGACGCGCGACAGCTGTACGTAGCATCGAGTCGCGATTATTCTGTGCTCGTGGAGTGAATACACATGAGCAACGAACGGTCCTTAGGAAAATAAAAAAATTGTGTAGTTTTGCTTCATTATAAATCAAATAATAAATAATCTAAATATTAAGTAATTTTAATCAGATATACTCTCAACAGAAAAGTTATACTCACACAATAGAACATCCTATGATTACTTAATAATTAATATTCCGAGAATTTATCAGCTAATTGTCTCAGATGTCAATCGCTCGATAGAATTGTCGAATAGACATCGAATCAGATGATCAGAGAGTCGCATTTAGCGTGTCAGAGACGCGATACAAGTGCGGAACGAGACGACTAGCGGGCGTGTACAAAAAATGGTCGCCCAGTTTTATCTTTCAGAGACGAGGCCGTATTCTTCGATTAATTTCAAGCGGATCTCACTTGACGGATTCACACGCGACTCGCGTCTCGGGATGCGCGAGAAAAAAAGGTACGCGACGATCGCGATGTGACTTCGCGTGCCAGAAGTGTCGGGAGGAGCGCGAGGAACGCGAGATTCACACGCACGTGCGTCGTGCGTGGCGATGCGTGTAAGTGGAGGACGGCGGTGACATATAGCGACGGCGAGGGCGACTGTGCCGACCGTTTAGGCGACTATTAGCAGCTTCACGGGATGTTTCACGCACGTGCGTCCTGCGACGGCAGTCTACGAGCTCTCCTGAGGCCAGAGGCTCGGGGAGAGATATTCCTCGCGCTTAAGTCAATCCTAACGATCATTCGTCCTACTTATATGGCTCCATCAGATGGTTTCTCTCTCCGAAAGAAGTTTTTATTGGGTCAGTCAAGAAGTTCGGTTCGATTCTTGTGTCAACTCTGGCTCTTTCGCGTCTAATGGAGACAAATTATTCGACAATCAAGTAATCACTATCCTGTTACCTATGATTCTTTGCCAATGCTCTGACGATATTTCGCACATGCCTCTGTAGAATTTGATCGACTATAGGAAACAGGAAATCGAATTAAACATCTTCACTAACCCGATATAATCAGAAAATTTTGAAATAAATGTACAGAACGTCCAGCACTTCGCGTCGTTCTGACTCGATTGTAGCACAGGAGTTAGATACTAGCATCGTAACACGGTCGTTAAAATCGTTAAAAGTGGATTTATTCGGACGTCGTAAAAAAGGACGATCGCACGAAGCAAGTGTGTCGGGTATCGTTCAACCAATTTACGGTAATCCTCCAGTGGGAACTAGGAGACATAAATTTCGGATAGCTCGACGTTGGACGGAACTATTCATTGGCGAGACACGATCTTTTCGCGCGTTGTCATTTCATCTCGATCTCGTGTATTGCCGCTTAAAATTAAGCGCATCAATCATGCTATTTATTTCACGAAGCAACGTAAATTGATCGAATAAAGACAAACCGAATAAAAAATTATAAAATAAAAGAAAAATGATTGGAACGAGGACTTCTTTTAAGTTTTCTTTCTTTTTTAAATTTCACCAATTATTGGCGACAAGAGATAAAATTAAACGTTGAGATAAAGCAGAAAGTGTAAAAATATACAGATCGGCAGATTGAAGTTTTTATATATAAAATTATGCTATTTTAAAGCAATATACAAGAAATATATTAATAAGACACAACAGTTACGTGTGAAAAACAAAAAAAGAAACGTATCGATCAGCGTCGTTTTTGGGTCAGTGGTTTTTTCTTCCCCCTCTCCCCTTCCCCCCTCCTCGAGAAGAAGCGAGACAACGCGAAGCGCGTGGCTTTTAAAACGAGGCGTCATGACGCGGACAATTTGTAGCGGAGTGTCAACGCGGCTGTTTCTATTTTCGAGTACGGCGCACGGCTATCTTTTTCTTCTTCTGCTTCTTCATCTCCGTGTTCTAACTCCGCTCTCCCTTCCTCCACCTGCTCTTCTTTTTCCTTTTCGTTCTTCGCCCACCGACGACGACGACGACGACGACGACGACGACGGCAGCACCCGTAAATCCACGCGTGGGTAGACGATCGCGGATCTCCACTGTCCTCGTGCGCTCGCTATTTCTCCTCCTTATATCGCAAGCTTACATTTTGTTCTGTAACACAACATGAGCGGTTGTATATTTTCGTAGTGCGATTTATCGGAGGAAATTCGAACGGTGAGATTCCGTCCGGCTCGCAAGAATGAACGTCTACGATAACGCGGCGGCAACTCCTCTGGAGCATTATTTAATAACTTGGCCGATTTATTGAGAATTATGGGGACATGTAGTCGCGAATAAACCGTCTCGTAAACGTGGCGTAAAGACGATTCGAATGAAATAATAATGCTACATATCGGTGGCGTGGTGATTCCCGCCCGGCGAGAGAGCGCGCGTGGAAAATGAATAAATATGTACGTATGTGCGCGAGAGAGTGACGGTAAAACGTGTGCACAAAATGACAAAGTGACAAGTAATGGTGTAATAACAGACGCGCGCAAATTCATCCTACTCAATGAAAGCTTCAGAAGTTCTTTACGTTTCAAGCATAAAATTTTACGCGTAAAATTTCGTGCCAGTTTCTATCTGATATTTTTATGAGTTAATAAGACATCAAGTTTGTGATATTACCAGATATATATCAATTAGTTCAAATCAATTAGTTCAACCAGTTTTTTCTATTAAAGATTGACTTTGTATTTAATATTATGAAAATGAAATCACGCGTATCAGAGGCTTGCAATTTGAATGAGTCACAATTGATATAATCGTACGAGTTTATCTTGAAATAAGATCGTACGACAAGCGAAGCGTTTGACGGGGAGGAATATATCCCCTCGTCGAACGTCGAGCGGTCGTATTTGCGGTGATATGTACTTGCGCATTTGACGTGACGTCAAACAGTCTATGATTCATCTGACCCACTAGGACTTTTTTCTTTATCGCCATTTAGTCGGAAACCCGAGTTGTATCAGGCAGTTGCGCGTGTACACGACAAACGGAGAACTTGTTCGTGTATTTTGCGAGCCGCGCTCGCGCGAAAGCGTCGAATTCGAGAACGCCGACCTCAGCGTCGTCGAAGATCTGCAACGAGTGCGTTTCAACCGTAGACGCACCTCTGCGATGTGAATACACTGCGATTGCGGTTGAAGAGGAAGAACCGTGAAATCGCTTTGCCGTTCTGCGCGGTCGGCAAATCGTCATCGTTGAGATAATCACGTGATCATGTCATCATGTGATAATCATGTAAAATTTTATATACTTTCTACGTCGCAATATCGAGGTAATCATCGACATATACGTTAACTTTACGTCTCGCATATGTAAGAGTAAACTCGCAGTCTCGCAACGATGTCAGGTTTGCGTAAACAGGAAAGGTCGGCGTTTCTCGAGATGCAGAATTAAGGGAAATTATATATTCTCTTATCTTACTTCTTTTGTACTTGTACAAAAGATTAGCGCGGTCTGACCGTTTAAATTGGAAACATCCTATGTAATATTGTCAATGTACTTTCCTTCACCTCATAAAGAAACAAATCGGAATGCACAATAAAGTGAACCGCTGTTCCACGGTTATTCAGATGAATTTTAAACTCTTTGCACCTCCTTTTCCTGTTGGCGTTAATAACGAATATATTTTGCCTCAACACGCGCGCCATGCGCGTTCCCTCTTACGTGAGCGCACGGCCGAGCACGTACGGCTCGTGCTAACTGCACCTCTTTGTTTTTCCCGGCACCTTATGACACGTACGAGTGTATCGATTCGACTCCGGCGTTTACGCACGCACCCAGCCGCCCGAAAATTCGGAGGCGACGTGACAAATGTACACGGCAGATATACGAGGTGTTCCGCAGTCAGCGGGAAATGGATACATTCCCTGCACAAACGGGGAGGATCGTTGTCCGTCGCGGTTTATTAAACTTCCGTCAATCTTATTAAAAGTCTGCTCTTTATAGCTGCATTGTTGAGCTACTTTGTGATCTCTTTTCTTTTCTCTTTCATAAAGTATCAAATATGTATACATTTTTTTAAGTATAAATTTACTTTCACCAAAAGCACTAAATATATATTTACTTCATCTCAAGTACAACTTTGCTTTGCTTTAAAGAACTTTGCTTTAAAGAACATGTTTTTAATTTTTCAAACTTGACGCTCGCTTATTTGTTTCGCGCACCTTCATTCTGTGGATTGTAACTCAAAGGCGACATTATCGCCAAAAGATTAGTTTCGTTAGATTTCGAGTTTCACGAGGAGCAATGTTATAGGTTATTCCTATCCGCTGATTCTGAAACACTCGTAGAGCTCGTTTCGATATATCGCAAGTGACAGGAAAGTCTCTGCTGTATTGCAGTTTAAGGAGATGAGGAAATGGAAATGGTCTGCAATAAAATGGAGATTGACATAGTGCGACACAAGCACAATGTTATTTCCCGTTATATTAACAATATATTTAATCTTCAATCGCTGACGCCAGTCGGCAGATACGCACTATATTACCTTCGTTAGTTCTTGCAGTGATACAAACACACTTGCGCGCAGACAACGAGAGATGATTTCGCGACTCTTCAAAACTCAATTCTAAATGACTCTCTCGCCATCCTTTCTTTCTTTCTTTCATCTTGCGGGGAATGACTGGCAGAAGGAGAATGAAAGATATTTGTATGATGACTGCAACTTCACTTATTTCTCGACGCTATTTCGACGGTTAATCCTCCTCGAGAAGATCGTCGTCGAGGTTGACATCCTGCAACAGAGGACAAAAATCAACGACCCGTGTACGATTCGTCCGTTCCGTCAACGTCTAAACAAGCCGTAGAACGAGACACTCCCGATCGAATGTCGTATTTACAAATTGCGAGCCGTAAGCTAATCTTAAAAGTGAGAAATATCGAAACGCGCGGCCAACAAGAACGTGTAAACGCAGCATCGCGAGTGAATGGAAAAGGGCGGGAGGCAGAGCGTGACAAAACGTAGTAATGGTCGGAACCTTCTGGTAGGAGAGGGCTCAGGTTCGACTCCGGACTCGAATGTTATGGCAACAAGGCTGTAAACAAAATGCGGCGTGACTGCCTCGGAACAAACAAGCCCCGGGGTCTCTCGCAAAAGCTCCCAAGAGAGAGAGTGCACCTCTGTTCTCCCGTGTGTTCGTATCGGTTACATGGCGCAAACCTTAATGATCTGTCGCCGATTTTCGCGATACGCTCATACGAGATACATTTTAGCCGTGCCGTGTACACGCGATTTATATACGTATGCCGTGTGTGTACACGTCATACGGCTCGTTTCTCGCTCTGTTTTGGTAATGCTACACCCTCCTCAAGTTACGCTCATACTCTCAAGAGCACTAAACTATCGTCTAATTGTACACCCTCCGTTTCTTACTCGCATTCGCGCTTTTTCCGTCCTCTTCAATCGCAACTTTGATTCATATTAATAGTTGTCACTTTTGTAACTTGTTTCAAGCGCGATACTCGAATTCGAATTTAGAGTTGGATGTAACTCTTTCAATTAAATTGTAACTACAAATATAAAAAAATGTCAGATATTATGTGATATATTATTCGAATGAAAAACTCACCTAACTCTAAATTCAGATTGAATAATTCATATGAGAGAAGCTTCAAGTTAATGACTATTAATATGAACCTTATATTTCAAAGACTTTAAGGTATGCTCAAAGTTTAAGACAGTTACCACAAGAATTATTACTTTTACACGAGTATACTCTCTCTTTATAGCATATTCGATGGAGAAGCATACAATATAACCAAAATAGAAATTTAATGTATTAATAAGAGAAATAAAAAAATTGGGAGGAGAAATAAAAAATATTTCAAGGAGGAATGATGTTGAAGCTGCCCTGAAAAATATCTCTATACAAAAATACTAAGAATAAAGGAGTCGAAGAACTTACAGTGGTATCAATATTATCATCGATTTCCAAATCGATATCAAGGTCGTCGTCGTCCACTGTGAGAGGCCTTGAACTACTCGCGAGCTTCGTCGTTTTCTCGAGTACGGGTGTAGCTGTGAGCTTCGCGGTTGTGACTGTATCGTTGTCTTTCTTTGATATCATGAGCTCTTCCAATCTGTCAGACACCGTTTCAGTCTCTGATGCGTTTCCCGGGCGTTCCGTTTGGTCATCGCTATATTGAAATGCGCCTGATTTTTCAGCGGCCAACATCTCCTCCAAAGGATTCCGGTCGGTATTAGGCTGTAAAATTAAATATTGACAATTTGAAATTTACAATTTTTAATTATGTTCGCCGATATTCTCGTCAACTGTTAACGTTTAGAACCCGGAAATGTTGAACTTATCATTCTGTGCCATATCTCGCTTGAAGATAATCTAATAATAATATTTGCAGTCGTTTCTTTTTACCGTGAAATTGCGAAACGCTGAGGCTGGAATCTTTTTCGCCCTCTCTTTGCGTAAGAACTGTTCTACTTTCAAGGCTTCTCTGTATCCAGGGAATAGATTCTCATACTGTTCGGGATCCGCCAAACTCTGTCCGGCTTTCTCGCTCACCGCCGACAATTTTTCCTTCCACAAGTTAACGACGTGGGAAATATGGCTAGGGGCGTACGTTCTGGCGAAGAACGCGGCCTCGGGAATTCTGTCAGTTTTGATTAAAATGTCCAGGCATTTGTCCACATTACCCAATATAAAATTCGCCAGAAAGGAGATGTTGTTCTTTCCCTTTTCCTCTGCGACCAAGCCGAGTTTCAGGACCATATCAGTGTTTCCTGTGCTAGTGGCTGACAACAATAGGCCACCGAAATCTTGCGCTTGATACAAACACTCTTTCGCCAAAGAGAGCTTGCCCTGCTGCGTGGCAAGAGAAGCCAACTGCCGCCACTTTTGCTGACTGTTCGCTTCCTTGGCGAGCACATGTGCGGCTACTAGATTTCCCAGTGCGAGCGCTAATTCAAATCTGTGCTCAGGATCTGTCGACACTGCTAATGCTTGCTCTTTGAAACCCTATATTAATGTGATAAATGTGATAATAGTTTTCAATAACCTTTAATGCTGTCATTAAAGTCTTCAGCAACAAATATATCATCAAATTATATACCTGTTTTTCTAAGAAATGAGCCACTCTCGTGCGGTGCTCTCTAGGAATGGTCGGTAACACTCTATCGGCGGTTCTGAAATCCATTCGCATGACAGCAGTTTGGTACTCTAAGACTGACAATAATAAAGAATACGAAACAATGGACAGTTCTTTATCGCATAAATATAATCTGTTGTCTCTTGGCACGTATCCCAGCAGGTACATCGGTCTGTCTAGATGGGAGACCGTGACTACCTGGCCGCCGACATAATAATTAACGCGATTGACGCTATTAGTATAGATAAAACAATCGCCAATCCATAAACCGGTTTTCACCACTTCGTTTACCTCCGATAACATCTAAAAGATCAAGTTTATAACAATCAAGAATCAATTTAGATTCGTTATTTATACAATATTTATAGTATCTCACACATACGAAGATTATTAATCTTATTAATTTATTATATAATAATAAATATAGTATAATAACTTATACTATATGGTAACGTATAATATTAAAAAAAAAATATATATAATTAAAATAAAAATAATTATAAATATAATATAAAATAATTCAGACAAAAACAACTCACTTGGAATGCATTTTCGATGTCCTCATAGTTTTCCTCGACAACGGCAACAACTTCTGCATAATACTTTAATATAAAATACTGATCTAACGTAGCCAGCGCTACTAATGAGCCGTTCTCAGCCCAATATACATGCATAGGTTGTATGTCTATACGACGAATCAACTTTAACGTATCCCAGTCGTAGAAGGAAAGACCAGAGCCAGATGATACACCGAGCAAGAATCCACCGAAGATGCCTGCGAACAACAGCGAAATGCAACAGCCAAATCGACGAATCAATCAATAGAAAGCAAGAAAATATCCTACCATCTGCTCCTAAATCCGGCTTAAAGCTCTTCTTCTCCTTGAAGTTCTTGAAAACCTTCACCGTGGTGTTACTCTCCCTTACTGCATACTGACTCGAATCCGCCGACCATACGAATTCTGACGCCTGTCCGAACGCCTTGTTCCTCAACGCCATGGACGTGTAGATGATGTATTCGCCGTCGCCGCAGACCACCAGGAATCTCCCGTTCGGATTGTGCTGTATAGTCTGCGGATATATCTCACAGGCGCCCATGTCCTTGACCGCCAACGGCAAGCGCTCTCCGTCCTGAACCCCCTCGCCCAATGCCTTCAGGTTCACCTGCTGAATCTCGCTGTGTCTCGCCCATACGACCTTGCCGCCCAACGAGTCCATCGACACCGCAGGTTCTTCTCTGCCAACTTTAACCATGACGCTACCTTCGTCGTAGCCGATGGCGACGTTGTTCGAGCCTCGCATGCACGCGATGGTCCACACTCGCTCGAAGCCGTAGTTGAGCGAGGACTCCAGCCGGTATGTTCCGGCGTGCCATACCCTGACGGTACCGTCCTCCGAACCGGTGAGCACGATCGGCAATTCCGGATGGAAACACACCGCGGAAATGTTCTGCGTATGGCCTTCCAACGTCTGAACGCAGGTCTTGTTTTGATAGTCCCATATCTTGACACATTTGTCGTCTGCTCCCGATATCAGGTAAGGCTTGTCACCACCATGATAGTAATCCACGCAATTCACGCCCTTCTCGTGACCTTCTAACGTGAAATTAGCCGTAGGTGAGCCAAGTTGCCATACTTTGACAGTTCTGTCCAGAGACGCACTGGCGAAAGTGTTGTTGTCCTTTGGATTAAATACAATTTGCATGACATAATGTGTGTGCCCTTCAAACATTTGTTGGCAGATCCAAGACTTTTCCCAGTTCCACAATTTGATCCACATATCATCTACAAGAGAACATCATCATCAGGAAGAGATCACTGTGCAAATTAAGAGAGAAATATAAACTTGACAGTTTAACAGAATAAATGATGTCTGTTGCTTTTTCACATACCGCTGCTAGTGAGAATGAACGGTTGTGTTGGGTGTACCGCTATACATCTAACATAATCACTGTGTGCTTCGAATGTCTGAACACGTTCCAGAGTGTTGTAATTAAACACTCTGATTTGCATGTCATCAGAGCCAGTAATCACCCAATTCTTGCGAGGCACAAATTTAGCAGCTCTTACTGGCAAATCACATACTTCAAATGTTTTCACCAACGTTTGCGTCTCATGATTCCAGATATTGACATTGCCCTGATATAAAGAGCATAACATCCATGGTTCTGTTGGATGAAGATCTACGCTCTTCACTCTGTCTGATCTGGCAGTTAACTTCCGCTTAATGTCTAGTCTTAGAGGCTAGAAAAAGAGAATTCAACTTATAATATTTGTTATAATGTTTGCCTCAAGAATAAAATACTATATAATATTAAGAAAATAGTTCCATGCTTTTCTAATCCATCTGTTACCCATCATATCGTATATTCATTATTCTAGCCATTAATTCTGATATTACAATTATTGTTCTATATATATATATTCTATGCTATTTTATATCATAAGAAATGTGTAATATGTGTAAGTATATATTTGCAAGATTAGTTGACTGGAAAAGATCTATTATACTAAAACGTGAAGCAGAAATAACAAAACAAATAGCAGTAAATAAATGAACTTGAATAAATGCAAATTTGCATAGAATTTACCAGATCTTGCATGACATTTCTCGACCTGGAAAATCCTCTATGTACACGAGGAGCTAATTTTCCGTCATCTCGGAGAGCAATGCATATTTTGACGGGATACGTCATAATAATGTATATATGCGACAGGTGACAACAAATAGAATGAAATACGTGATCTTCCTCTACGTACCATTTTGTTATTATCTTGCAGTTATCCTCAATATATCCTTATATTCAATATCGAAGCAAAATTATTGCGATGGTTGTATCAACAGCAAGACACACTCCGATTAATTAAGGACGTGGCCGATGCCAGTGCCAGTGACAGTGAAGATGGCGTCTGCTTACACTCGCTGCCACATATGCGATTAACGAGTCATTCTGAAAAATTACCCGAGCTATAATAAGTTAAATATGACTAGTTAAAGTTGGATTAATTCGAAAAAATATATATATGTACTTGGTATTGAATTTAAAAAAATAATAATAAGTCTATAACTTAACGGGTCATTTAGCCGAGATTCAAACCAAATTAGTTATGATTCAAACCCGTAAAGTTAAACAGGGCTTTTCGCGATATCGTTAGATGGCGCCAGGCTGACCATCAACCACTGAAAACTTTTAAACGAATCGCCAAGTGGCGCCATCAAAGTTTCCGGAGTTGTCATTATTTCAATTGTCAAGATGAAGTTGTAGTACGACTCAACGCAAGTCAGACAGACCTTTTCTTTTCAAGCAGCATGACTCATCGGTGAATCAAAGCTACTTTCTATTTTCAAATAGAACTTAGTCATAAGTCATATTTTTATTTTCACATAATATATTTTAACGACAAGTCAGAGAAAGCCTTTTGTTGTCAAGTAATACGATTCAATGGCAGATCAAGTGATTATTTCAATCAAACTTTAATTTCAAATAGTGGGACAAGTGAGATCATTTCGAACTTGAAATATATAATATATATTTGTACGGAATTTGATTTATACGATTGCACTAGAACAATCGTAATTACTTACAAAACACAATAATTGTTAGGCACATTACAAATTAGTGTTGAAAGTTATTATTGTCGAATTAATTAGTAAAAATTAATTAAATTTAAAGTACATTGTTTCGAGCGACGTCATTAGTATTAGAAAAAATCGCGGCGTCAGTCTGATTAGGTTAAATTAGCGACGGAAAAATTTTTTACACCGATATGCAATCGCTTTTGCGCGCCGTCGCAAGCAGTCGAGAGGCACAACCGCTCGACGACGTTTATTCAACTCGCTTTTCCCAACTCGTGTATATTTACCGGTTCGTTAATGTGAATTAAAGTTGGCAAAAGTTCGGCGCCGCGTACGCAACCGAGCATGCACTTTGACCGCGACGGCTCATCTCGCTCAAAGAACTGAAGCTGCGGCTCGAGGAAAAGCGCTACCACGCTAATCTCAATCTGTGTGTCGATCTCCATTTGTCGCCATTTCTCCTTATTTTCGTTACTTTCCTCGCAAATCGCAGAGACTCGCCAGAAACTATTTACCCGAAAATTGCGGACATTTGTCAGGCAAAGTGCCGTTCTACGAATTACCAATTCAGCTTCGACTCGAGAGCCTCTCTTCAGTCGATCGTTCAACGACAGAAATGAAGATAACGCAGACCAATTGAGAGTCTATTCCCACGACTTGCGGGAGATTGTGTCAGACCGTGTCGACGGAGACCCGTCGACAGGATGATCGCCGCTATCGAGATGGCAGCGAATTCGTTTTGTGTTAATAACTCACAGTTATCAGGGAGCGTGGGGCGGCGTATCTGTAACATTATAACCTCGGCAAGGATTACTGTGAATGTTACGCAAAAGCGTTTAGTTATGATTCGCTTAATTGCCGGTAAGTAGCCGGAAATATCGTTCAAACTTCTCCGGAGCTCCGCGCTCTTAACTTCGCGACACGACGCGCCGCTACCGAATTAATTCGGAAAGTCCCGCTCTAAACTAAATGTTTCGCCGGGATAACACGGTTATCCCTTTGGCGTGTTTATACCGGCATTATACACGGGGCGCTGCGTCACGATTTACATCCGAATCGAGACAGTTAACCGTTACCGCGATAGCGTTGCGGACTGCGAGTGCGAATTTCTAACGTGAATATTAGCGCGTAGCAAAGTCGCATAGCACGAAGCGCGCATTGTAACGGCAAAAAAGGCGTTGTTGAAGTATCACTGTAAATTGCCAAAATCGTCCAAGTGCCGTGAGTGACAATTAAAACTGAAGCTGATTTTTAAGCTAAAATTATAATATATCTAGGATATATTCAAAATTAATATATTTAATAAATAGAATAAATTCAGTTGAAATTATATTGTATTAAGTATAAACAATGTATTTATACATTTCTTTTTCTTTTTCTCTTATAAATATTATGAGAGAAACAAAAGCAGTATCGGGCATTAATCGATTAAGATTTTTCTCAACTAAAATAATCGGCAAATTAATTATCGAAATTAGTTGATTAATTGAGTATACATAAAATTACAAGTAACTTTATCGAATAATGAATTATTAATCAGTGTACAATCAATCATATCAAAGTTTGATTAATAATTAATTTCATCAATCACGATGAAATTATCTGTGATTTTATATATGACGATTGATTAATTTTGGTTATTGAGTTGGTTATTATTATTTTAGAGTTAAAGGAAATATTAATCGATTCATGACCAACACTGACCAAAGGAAGCGACGACCATCAATTATATTGTCGGAAAATATTGGAATGTCGCGTTTACTCGATATTCGATTGAATTCGAATTAGCCCGAGGGCTTTTTTCTGTTATTCTGGAATTGTAGATTATTCACGACGGTGGTTGCCGCGCTGAATTCGTGCACTAGCTTCATGGATCAGCGGTTTGTAACATGGCGAAAGTGAGGTACGAAAGGAATCCGGCCCGCGCATCGTTTGCAGTCACCTGTATGAATTCTTTCCCGTTTTTCCATACTATATATCGGCCTCCTCCTTCGCGTGTGTATATGATTTCATCACACGTAATTCTTTATTTGTCCAAAAAGATTTAAGGAAAACAATTTTTGAGTGATTAAATGAAGTAAATCATGTCTTCTGAGTGCAGTTCGATTGCTTCTAAAGTATCATTTTGAAGATATATTTTCAATAATTTTTCTCATTCAATAGCAAAAAGCGAGACTATTGGGATAGACAGAACATTTATCATATCTTGCTGCATAGCAAGTGCTAAATAAATGCGTTCTGCGTTTATCGTTCTTCCACATAACTCATGAGAAATCGATGTTGCTTGAGAGAAACATTGCCAAACAAAGGGTTAATAGTGATTTTTGCCAATTTTCATCCGCGGATGTTTTTATCAGCCGACGACCGATTTCGTCGAAGACACCGAGATATCGCGACAAGTTTCCTGCATAGTACGCACCTTCGAATATGAATATAACTCTTTCTCGCGGATTGGTTCACTATAATCCCGATTCTTTTGTAGATAACTAACCGTAGATAACTTATCGAAACTAAAGAAATAACAAGCACGTGTCTTGGAATCGAAAAGAAATTCGCAATCTTCTTCTCTGTCTCTCTCTTTCCCTCAGAAGCACATTGATATGCAAATCGTAAGCGAGTACAGCATGGCATCACTCGAGATGCGATATCAAGAAACATATTAGTTACTAGATGATACTTCTTACCGCCGATAGAACTGCAATAAAAATAGAAACAGGTAGCAAACCTCGCAGAATTCCGCGCGTATTTTCTAACGAGGAGAAGAGCGCGAGTGTAATCGGGATTCGCGATAACGCTAATCCTCATTCTTTAGTGCGTCAATGATGCTAATCGTCTCGATAACATATCGGATATCGTATTAATACGATTATTAATGTGCACTGCCATAAATATTCCGCGCGAGTCCTCGCCTATAAGCGTGTATGATTTGCACTGAGAGAAAATTCTTTCTTCACGTAGGTAATAATACGTACTTTTCCACGCGGCTAGCTATTGCCGCTATTGCGTTACCTCATGCAGCTCGACGTTACCACATCGAGAAAAATTCGATGTTCTTCCTCGTCAACATATGAATATTTGCAGGAAGCATGAAACATCGATAAGAACTTCAATTTCAACAGAACTTTGTACTCAAATAAAAAGACCTTGTGACAGAAGCTATATAAGTGACAACTATACGAGTTTTGTACTTGGGATTAATGTGTATTCGATAAATTATCTTGTAATTATATTGTAACCACACAAAGCTTTGATTGCAACAAGATAATTTACATTTATTAAATAAATTATTTATTTAATAATTTATTAAATTATATACATTACAATTCTATGTACAAAACTAACATAATTGTCATCTATATAGTTCTCAACATTTTGTTTTTTTCTGAGTATATTGAGAGAGAAATTATTTAAGAAATAAACAAAATTTATTCGATGGATAATAACATATTTACTTACACTAATACAAAATATTTTTCATGTAAGAACATGTAAACATACATTTTCTTATAGCTTGAAGAACCTTAGCTTTTCATAAAAGCAATTGTTTATTCTATTTAAGTAAACTAATACTACAATTCTAGACAAAATCGTAAAACTCGTAATTTGTTTTCGTACATATAGATGACAATTATGTAAGTTTTGTACATAGAATTGTAATGTATATAATTTAATAAATTATCTTATTGCAATCAAAGCTTTGTGTGGTTACAATAATTATAAAATAATTTATCGAACATTAATCCCAAGACTCGTGAGAACTTATGAGTACGTCTGCAATTCTATGCGAACCGTATGTCATATGATAACTCATAAATATCTACGATTTTTTTTTTGTTTTTTTCGTAAGCTACGACTTTACGATTTTACAATTTACTCGTATATTTGCTTAGAATTGCAGCATAATTTAGGTTCAAATAAATATGTCATTAGCATTCACACCAAAGAAATACTATCTTTTAGATATTTCTTTTCTCAGTATAGATGAAACATCCTACGAGGGGAATCTAATTACCGAAGAAGGTCTCCAGATAATCTCGTGTCGATGATCGGGCCATCCGTTCTTTTTGTGTTCGTGCGAAAAACCGAGAGAACCGATTAGCACGTCGCTGGTTTGTCCGGTCCGGATGCCGCGATACAAGGTAATCTCGTAGACGTCATCTATAATTCATCCGATCTCGACGGCGCACATCGCGCTCTCGACGTCTGCGCCAGTGAGGACGAAGGGGCGAGCGGGTCATTTCGAATGGGTTAAGGTCGTCCCCAGGGCTGCTCTTCGCCGCGCGATACTGCCGCGATGCCGTAAAAGGCGCGAGAGACGCGGGTGGAAGAAGGAAACGTGAGAGGAAA